TTCAAATAACATATTGCATGTACTGTCTTCTTTTTAAATTTATTTCCCCCAATTTCTGCCCGAATTTATACGTCTATAATTTGCATGACTTTATTTTGACTGGGGGGCAGGACTGCCTCCCCCTCTCGCCCATACGGCTATAATCAACCGTTGTTACGGATCGGTTAATATATATTGTGTTAAAAATATTTTGACTTTGTTGTTTCTGATGACAATTTTGCCGACTCTCGACTTTTCAGTTACTCTCGATCGACTCTCGACTTTTTACTCACGATTGACTCTCGACTTTTTACTCTCGATCGACTCTCGACTTTTTACTCTCGATCGACTCTTGACTTTTTACTCTCGACTTTTACTCTCGACTCTCGACTTTTTACTCTCGACTTTTACTCTCGACTTTTTACTCTTGACTTTCGACTTTTACTCTCGACTTTTAGATACACTCGGGCTTGTTTCAATGGAAAGAGTGCCTGGTGATTTTTGCCAATTAGTAAATCTAATTAGTATGCACTAGAATTACAAAATACAAATTGTAAGTGAAAAGCTGCGAGCAAATACTGGAAGTTTATAGACTGGAGTGTCGAAACGTTGGGTCCTGATTACAATTCGACTGGGCTTTGTAATCATTTATTTAAACCAGAGTAGCGAGCAAAACATGAAGGGTACCTTTGTTAAAACTCTGAGATAATAGTACTCTTTGCTTGAATTATAATTTTCAAAAGTGAGGCCAAACATGAGAGCATTGATTCCAGTCCAAATAACCTAAAATTAAAATAATATAAAAAATATGTTGAATTTTATGCTTTGATGTGAAATACATGATATACTAGTACTACTTCTCAACGCTTTCATACATTAACTCAAGCCGAAATTTGGCGTTGTGTTCCTTCGTTAATTAATAATCTTGATTGGGCGAGGGGTACCGTTTATATAATAAATTCATAGTGCCCCTGTCGCGTTTACATTTTTGTTGGCAGGGTGCTCTGTTATACAAACAATTGTGCTCTCCAAAATAATGAACCTGTCTTGGGAACTGTTTAAAAAAATGCCTGTCAAGACAATTACGTATTAAATAAACCAATTTTATAGCCCATATGACATCCACATTTAGCGGATATTTAATAGCTGAGATTAACTGTACGGTTTGATATAACGAAATATATTATATCTGAATACATACCAACAATATCCATTTTATGCGATCACTTGAATTCATTTTTTTTCATTATTTCTTTTATAATTGCCTCGATATTTGCTCAAGAATATTTGCGTATTTCACCCATAGATATCTTCATGTATAAAATCAGAGGTATAAAATATAATTATACAAAAATATTAGCGCGCGTCATGATCCATTACTGCACTTCAATATCCTCATATTACCCATAATGAATAACAGGGGGGGAGGGCTCAGCTCCTCAAAGTCAACATGAAATTTTAACAAGGGGGTCAGCCCCCCTGAGCCCCCTTCCACCCATCCAACACATCACCGGATAAGTTTGGCTCAGGGGAATTTTAAAGCACATTTTCACAAGGCTATCATAGCACTGGGCCGTATGCAAGTCAATCCTTGCCAGTCCCGATTACTATAAATTACACTACGCTTGCCCTACCCTGGATTCCAGAGCCTTCGACAGTAAATAATAAATTGAAATGTCGCGAAGGCTCTGGTTCAACGGGGCGATTCTTTGATTAAGCCGCGCCAATCACAAAACAGAATTAGTGGTTAATCAAAGAATCGCCCCGTTGAACCAGAGACTTCGCGACATTTCAATTTATTATTTACTGTCGAAGGCTCTGGAATCCAGGGTACGCTTGCACGGATTTCGGAGTCAAATAAAGCTAGGCTTGTCACTTAGAAAATTTTTGGCTGATCGAAAAAATTTTTTCGTCATAGATCAACTTAGAAAGGTTCAAAACGCATATTAACGGAGATAGGTTTGGCTCAGGGAAATTTTAAAGCACATTTTCACATGGCGATCATAGCACTCAGCCGTATGCAAATCAATCCTTGCCCGTCCCGATTACTATAAATTACACTACGCTTGCCCGGATTTCGGAGTCAAATAAAGCTAGGCTTGTCACTTAGAAAATTTTTGGCTGATCGAAAAAAATTTTTCGTCATAGATCAACTTAGAAAGGCTCAAAACGCATATTAACGGAGATAGGTTTGGCTCAGGGAAATTTCAAAGAACATTTTCACATGGCTATCATAGCACTGAGCCGTATGCAAATCAATCCTTGCCCGTCCCGATTACTATAAATTACACTACGCTTGCCCGGATTTCAAAGTCAAATAAAGCTAGGCTTGTCACTTAGAAAATTTTTGGCTGATCGAAAAAAATTTTTCGTCATAGATCAACTTAGAAAGGTTCAAAACACATATTAAGGGACATAGGTTTGGCTCCGGGAAATTTTAAAGCACATTTTCACATAGCTATCATAGCACTGAGCCGTATGCAAATCAATCCTTGCCCGTCCCGATTACTATAAATTACACTACGCTTGCCCGGATTTCGAAGTCAAATAAAGCTAGGCTTGTCACTTAGAAAATTTTTGGCAGATCGAAAAAATTTTTTCGTCATAGATCAACTTAGAAAGGTTCAAAACGCATATTAATGCAGATAGGTTTGGCTCAGGGAAATTTCAAAGCACATTTTCACATGGCTATCATAGCACTGAGCCGTATGCAAATCAATCCTTGCCCGTCCCGATTACTATAAATTACACTACACTTGCCCGTCCATTAATATAAATTACACTACGCTTGCCCGTTGCCCGGATTTCTGAGTCAAATAAATTTTTGGCTGACCGAAAAAAATTTTTCGTCATACACCAACTTAGAAAGGTTCAAAACGCATATTAACGGAGATAGGTTTGGCTCAGGGGAATTTTAAAGCGCATTTTCACATGGCTATCATAGCACTGAGCCGTATGCAAATGATTCCTTGCCCGTCCCGATTACTATAAATTACACTACGCTTGCGCGGATTTCCCAGTCATATAAAACTAGGGTTGGCACTTAGAAAATTTTTGGCTGATCGAAAAAATTTTTTCGTCATAGACCAACTTAGAAAGGGTCAAAACGCATATTAACGGAGAAACGTTTGGCTCAGGCGAATTTTAAAGCGCATTTTCACATGGCTATCATAGCACGGAGCCATATGCAAATGATTCCTTGCCCGTCCCGATTACTATAAATTACACTACGCTTGCCCGGATTTCGCAGTCATATAAAACTAGGGTTGGCACTTAGAAAATTTTTGGCTGATCGAAAAAAATTTTTCGTCATAGATCGACTTAGAAAGGTTCAAAACGCATACTAACGGAGATAGGTTTGGCTCAGGAAAATTTTAAAGCGCATTTTCACATGGCTATCATAGCACTGAGCCGTATGCAAATGATTCCTTGCCCGTCCCGATTACTATAAATTACACTACGCTTGCCCGTCCATTAATATAAATTACACTACGCTTGCCCGTTGCCCGGATTTCTGAGTCAAATAAATTTTTGGCTGACCGAAAAAATTTTTTCGTCATAGACCAACTTAGAAAGGTTCAAAACGCATATTAACGGAGATAGGTTTGGCTCAGGGGAATTTTAAAGCACATTTTCACATGGCTATCATAGCACTGGACCGTATGCAAATCAATCCTTGCCCGTCCCGATTACTATAAATTACACTACGCTTGCCCGTTGCCCGGATTTCTGAGTCAAATAAATTTTTGGCTGACCGAAAAATTTTTTTCGTCATAGACCAACTTAGAAAGGTTAAATCGCATATTTAAAACGGAGATAGGTTTGGCTCAGGGGAATTTTGAAGCGCATTTTCACATGGCTATCATAGCACTG